AACACAACCCTCCATGCAAACAAAAAGAAAATTGTGTCAAACAATCCTGCTAAGGGAAAATGCTTTTACTGGGCCACTTTCTGCCTTGAAAATGGAGAGTCTGTGGAGAATTTTCTCTTTTCTTTCCCTTTTATGCAGTAAAGATCATTTCATCTATGGTACGGTACATGCAACTTGAAATGAGGCAAATTAGAACTGTGTTTATGTAAATTAATATTTTGGCTTGGAGGGTGAATTACATGAATGAGTTGTTCAAATCTTGCTCTGATTGAAATCGTTCCAGACAAAACTCAAAACATATTTAAACATGCATTGGAAATCTATTGTTGCCACAGTTGAATGCCCAAAACGTGTGCAAATAAATTCTACTTCCGGTACCAAACAGCAGTTCATTTCTTGCTGTGGTCTTCAACAAGTTGCATTCCATGCACTTCCCTACCGACTTCTGTGCTACTGTTCCGCTTTTTCCAACCCCATCCAAATGCTTGCACAACAAGACGCTGATGAGCGCGCTTTGGAATCATGCGTATTTATGCATTTGCCTGCACTTCTAGCTGCGTCCCTCTGAAACGGCAACGGGGAGGGAGGACAACAATAAGAACGAGGTTATATGCGGCACAGTTTCTGGAGTAACATCCTGCGAGTCAGTGACTGCTACAAATGCACATAATTGCCGGTTGTTGACCAGCCCCTGGGACAGCCGGCAAAAAAAAACAAAACTGTACTATCCCAGATTCCATGCAAGATGAATCGGGTGGGGGGGGGAGGGAACTGGGGAGCAATCTCTGCCACGTCCAGCCCCTGGATACCTGCTACGATGCAGAGACCCGCTCCTCTTCGTATATTTCCATCTCCCTCCCATCAACCCCTTCAACCGTCCAAATGACAAAATCAGATTTAACGCCGTGCAGGTCCTGACACAAACAATTCCCTTTCCACCCCATATCTCTCTTTTTCTTTTTCTTCCGCTTCGTATCAAAGGGACAGGGGACAGGTTATTCACATCGACACAAATAAAACAGCGGAAAGGATGACCCTACTTTTTTTTTTTTTTTGGCTGGTTGTCCGTCTTCTCCTTGGAGGACTGACTCCCGGGAAGTGGAATGGACCAACAAAACACACGACGAATCCCGCGATCTAATTAATGTGAGATTTGCAAAGACTCTGGGACACATCTTTGGCAAGACGAGGAAGAATTAAGCAGGTAGTTCTGTCTGGGGGAAAAAGGGGGGGGGGTGTGTGAGAGACAGGGGAGAGAAAGAGACAGAGACGGAAGGAAAGAAGCTAGCTGTCGCAGATTCGTTGTAATATGCGTGCCGGCGGGGATGTGGGGACAGGTAGCATTATGGGATGGATTGACGACAGGTGGAAGAGGCTTGTTGCCGACCCTGGAGGGGCCAATGTGCAAGCGCGGGAGACAGGGTGAGACCCAAACGCCAGGCCGTGAATTATGGATGTTTCAATTGGGAAGAAGAGCAGTCCCCTTTCTGACAGTAATCTGTCGGTGAGGCAACTCACTCCTTGTTCTGAAATCCCCGCCTTTATGCATTTTTTATTAGTTAGCTACCAGTCTTTGAAAGGAAAAGAAAATCAACATTTACAAAAAAAAGACGTATGGAAGATGGTATTCAACGAAGTTTTGTTCACAGTGATCCACAACCCCATCCTTAATCCAAATGGAATTAATCTTGATTCTCTGCCAGCAGAGTTTTACCATGTGTACATGTACTGTGGATTTTAGCTTGTTGGTCTTAAACTAGAAATGTGCTAAATGAACAATACGGGCGTTTCACAATAGTGCGCCTCCAAGAGTTTGCAACGCGTTGGCCAATCACAATGCCTGAAATCGGTTGACCCAATGCGCGTTTTTTCTCCCCCTTCAAGCTCTCGGAGATCAGCTGCTCAAACAAATGCAGCACAAAGGCTGGGGTGTGGCCAGGGTACCCCCTGACCAGACAATGTCCAAGACAGACAGCAATCAATTTGTTTTCTTCTTCTACTTTCAGGTTGGGGATAATTCTGACCAATCCTAAAATCTGTTGGCTGTGGTCATTCCCTCAGCCTATAACTACTGCGTGCAGAAGTACAGTCAGCCACTGTGACCCAGCCTTGGTCAGTTTTGGCAACTGGATCAAAATTGGATCAAACTGAAATGCAAACACAGGGCAACTCTCATGGACAAATAACTAATGGGTGAATAAACACCTCACTCCTTAAAAAAAAGAGGTTAAAACTGCCAAGACATGAGGAAAGAGATCAGAATCAAACCAAATTAGCCTTCTTGTACGAGTCCAATTCTGGCCATTATTTTTTCCTTCCAAATTCAGATTAAGGGCAACAGTCTAGCTCTGTGGTTTAAGAAAACGGTCTAGATCTTCAGTTTGAGGGTATGATGATATGGCAGGGACAGCCAAGAAGCTTTGGGGGGGGAAACACCGATTCATATCCGGTCAGGGCACTGTTCAGGGCCCAACCCTTGATTTCTTCAGAAGTGCAGCTTTTAAAGGGAAACAAAAAAAAAAAAAAGGACCCGGAGAGAAACATGATAAGAACCTGGAGGAAGCCATTGTGCCTGGCGCTTGGATTCTAAGGACCTTAAGACTTGGTTGTATAAGTGCAACAGACTTAATTTCCCCTCATCCCTTTCCCCCTTTTCTTTTCTCCAAAACAGCCGAGTTTTTCACAATTTTCTTTGTCTCTCTTTTTTTCCAAGCAATTCCACTTTCTTATTTGCAGCAGGGTGCAGAGCATTAAGATGCTTGCCAGGCTTATGTACCACAGGTTCCCAGGGGGAGTCTCGGCTTAGACAAACAGTTCCCTTGGCCCAGGCAATGTCTGTCCGATGACAGCTGCCAATCAGATCTGTGCCCATGCCACTGGCCGCGCGCGCCGCACCGGCCGGCCGGCCGGCCTGCCAGGGCCCCTGACTAAGGCTGCCGAATGATCAGGGCATCTACCTAAGCCCGCTGGTCCACTTGTTAAAGAAAAAAAAAAGGAAAAAAGTGCAGCATTCATGAGTCCCAGTTAAGCATCAACCTCCCGCTTCATCTTGCACCAGATCAGAATACCAAATTGGACAGTTTTGTTCTCTAGGTTCCACGGGGGAAAAAAAATAATAAAAACAGGGTAGAAAAAAACTGTGCCAACACTGCCAGACAGTGTTATTATGGTCTACTTAGTACAATACGTCAGGGAGCGGCAATGCCTCACTGTGTTTGCGTTCTAATCCCACCACAATGGAAATCAACCCCAATAGGATTCTAATATCATTGGAATTATCAACAATCTTTACAGTCCTTTTTTTTTGTTTAGCTTTGCTGCTGGTCAGAATAAATTTTGAAGGCTCCGAGCTGTTCTTTTATTTCACTTCACCGTTATTTGTCATCCTAGGGTTCTTTTTAGTTTAAATTTTCTGTTATGACTTATGGGAACTAAGTGGCTCCAACGTACATGTACATGCAAGTGTCATGGTCTGCTAGTTTTCTAGTAATCTGGTTTGAGGGGCAGGGCCACCAGAAAAAAGAATGAATCCTGTTGGCTATTCTATTCATCACATTAAGATACTGTACTTCACAAGCTGTGGATGATAATATATATCGCTCTGTGACAAGGAATCAATAATAAAACTGGGATCGGCTCACTTATTGATCATTTGAGTCACTGAAAACATACTTGCCAGTTCCACAATAATCCCCTGTCCAAAACACCCACATACACAGGTAGCAAGATGCACTGGCCTACGGTAAGACAGCTGAGAGAAACTCCCCTAATTCAATCTTAACAGTAGAGGGCAGTATGCCCGACTCAGTGATTACACTGATACTAGTAGTACACAGGGGATGGTAACATCCACTGCGAGACAGATGACAACACTGTTCAGATCAGGTCTTTCTTGCCACAGATCTCCAGTAGTGAATGAAGAGTTGAGTAGGACCACGGCAAACCTTGAGTATCGGGATCTTACCACAGGGACTACACATGTTTCTACTTAAAGAACTAAATGTACATTTCTACTAGTAGAAATTTTAACATCTCACAGTCCTCTGTATCATAAATAGGGTTTTTCCAAAATGTGCTGTTTACATTTAACTCTACTTCCACAAGCTTTTTATTTCTACAAATGAGACACGTGAACTCAAAAGATTAAGATTAAGAGCACTTTCGGAATATTACCTACCACACTGTAATACATACACATTCAAATCACATAATACTGAACGAACAGTCAATGATGCTCAATATTTTACAAGAATTACTATCCAAATGAGATGAACAGCACTCAAACTTGGGGGAACACACTCATACCCTCCCCCCACCTTTTGGGGAGGATTTGACATACTACTAGTAGGGTAACAACAGTGCTAAAAACTCACATAATATTTCAGCACTATCAGAGGAAAACAAGACCATTTTTTTTTCCATGGAAAGAAACTATCAGTTTTCAATTAAACCAGAGTTAGCTTCTTCAATTCATTTACAGCTTTTACTGTCAAAGATCTCTGCAATTCTACAATCAAAGATATCCCAAAAGGCCTTTCAATGCCAAGAGTACTCGGCAGACTGACAAGGTCTTGATTGTCCTTTTAGAAGTCAGTTGGAGGCATTTTTAGCAGGTCGACAATGCCCTCAGGATTGCCATGGGAAGGGGGATTAAATCAGCAAGTCGCATTTTGAATGCTCAAACAAGACTCAGTCCACGAAGGCAGCTGATCTTAACATTTCTACCTTCTCCTTTGCCAAATAGGTCTTTGGGAAAAAAACGGAACAGGAGCCTCCAACACGCAGACAAGAGTGAGATACAAATAATTATTCAGGGCCTACAGTAGTTTGCATGGCAGGAGTATCCTTCCAAAAATTGGATTTGCAGGCGACAATTTTTTGTGTGCAACCAAGACGGCATCCCCTGCAGGCAGGAGCAATATTTTGATTCCAAACACATAAGGTACATGTACACAGCGTACAGAGCAACTAAAGGGTATCAATACAAATGTGACACTTACCTTGGCCGTTATGAGCAGAGGATGGCGGGAAGGATTGCGGAGCTTTGTAAAAAACACCTGGATGAGCGAGAAATGACAGCAAAAAGTACAAATGTTTGAATAAACAGAGCAATCGATGTCCGTGAGGGGGGATTTCAAGGGATGACAACCGGTCCCGAGCACATCTCCCGCAGGAGAGGGGAGAAAAATATCCTTGAGTCAAAGTCTTGCACTGTCACATTCAGAAGCAGATGTGGGAAGATAAATATAAGTACAGAATCTATGTGTGCATATGTGCTACTAAGATCAAGACAGAGGTCCTGTACATCATGGCTGCACGTACAAATTCTGTCTACATCCTGACAAGATGTGACTGCGAAATGCCATTCTTTGTATGGTACAAGCATAGGCGAAAATATTTCTTTGAAACTCTGACCCTGGGCCAATATAATTTCACTGAAATGAGATTTGGTAGAGAAAACTAATGTACTTCCTTGATCAAAACCAAAAATTCAAATTCAACCATTTAATATTTCAAGCAGGATGACATAGTCTACAAAAGGAGAGTTGTGGGATTGTACTGTGTGATGTACTTTATTCTGACAACATATAAAATGTATACTGCTCAATCATGCCGGGTAGATACTAAATTTTTGGGGAGCTCAATATTGTCTGGTCAGACGTATCATCACCCATCCATGAACGCGGAGGCAAATCATCTTTAATTTCATTCCAATCGGGTTAATAGACGCTATCTCTCTCAGGAAGTGCCTCGAGACTGTGAATATCGCGACATGCAAAACGCGGCACGAAACGCTGCATGCTCCGTGTCAACAATAACAAGACACTTCTACGCTGCCTACACATATGCATGCACCAAAAAAAAAAATCTGTCTGACATTTAGACCAATTCATCTCTGCGGTGCGTGTGACGTGGCTCTGAACAGCGCCAACGGTAGCGGGGTATATCAAGTGTACCATATCCTTCTGCTCCGCTTACAAGTCGCGAGAAAGTACGACCAATCAGCCGACTCGCCTTCTAGACGGTCATTTCCTGTATTAGGAGGCACTCTCCGTGTGCTAGCGGTAAAACGCACCGGTTGAGGCTTCGAAACCGGCCCACAACTTAAATACAATCTTAGATTCCTACTCTGTCGTCTCGGAGATGACAGTGAGGACAGATGCATCTTCGGTACATCCTAGATTGCAGCCCAAACAAGAAGATTAAAGTCGACGGTGTCAATTGCATAGGCATCATTTAGAAACATGCTCATATCACCACTAAAATAACAAATAAGACACCATCCAACAATCTTTCACTACAACTGCAAAGGGCAGCTAAAAATGTGAAGACATTGGATGACAAACTGAGTACACACAATAGTACACACGATAGTTCTTCGGTCAGTTTAAAAAAAACAAACAGGCTTCAACAAGGAGAACAACTTCACAACAAACTGCCTTTGAAAAGGCAGCTTACTTTTAATTTCCTCCTCAAGTTGTTGGCGCACTTTCAACTGAATTAATTTGATTCCAGTCCACTAATATTTACTCCGTATCTCCTGTCAAAACCTTGAAATTCAGAAAGAAAAACAAGTCATTAGAATGATTAGAGGGATGTATTTTCAAAGCATTTTTCCCGCACTTGGAACATCAATAAGAGATTTATGAAGAGAAAACTTGATGACACAGCGACATAAACCTGACGAGACAAAAACAAGGCAAGACATACAAGTACAGTAGAAAACAGATATGAGCGGGCAACGCAATTCAAAGTGTACGTGTACATGTAACCTAAACACCCCTGCACATCCGAACAACTCATTTCCTGGAATTGTTATGAAATTGAGAAATCCCACAATCACATTAAAAATAGAACAGATCTGGATCATCCGGTGTGACGACAACTGGAGGGGGATTCTCCAAATGGGCAACTGGCAAATCAGCAGGCTCGTTTGAACCGCATTAGCAATCGGCCAACATGTCTGGTGGTTACATCCGGCATAGCAGTGGGGGGGGACCAAACCAGAAGTGAGAAGGAATTGGTCCAGTGTGTGAACAAAGGCATTACCACTGGATATTATAACCATCATTTGCATGCCATGCCTGGTGTCAAACTTGACAGTAGGCACAGACAGCTCAGAATGCATTGTGGGATAGCAGGCGGCCTTAATTGTATGAAGAACCTGTACACATACATGTGTACATGCACATACTGAACTGGTCAAACTGCAGTCGGAGTCAACCGTGAACCTAGATCCTCCAAAACCAGGGTGTAAATTAGACGAAACTGAAAGTAACCCTGCATGTCAAAGGGGCACAAACTTCAGAACTGACTGCTCAGATAAGTGTGAAAAATAATAATCAGGGTCTTTTTCCACATTTATGCTGCCTTGTATACTCTGTACGGTAGTTTTTGCTCATCAAGGAGCACGTGATGTGGTTCTGGAAACACCTGGTAAATCAAGATTAAAGCACTGCACAATCATGGAACAAGTCACCGCAACCAAGACCACGGCTGCGCATTCCCATCAAGTCTAAACGGCCACTTCTTAATGCTCTCTGTACGTGTCTGACCATGCCGATTGCCAGGATGCTGAGAGAGGGAGAATGCCAGCCCTGGTGGATGGCTGACTCCAACCACCCCCCCTCCTCCTCCCTCCAGAGTAAGACAAGCAGCCAGCACATTAAGGGACCATAGACTGATTCTTCTCAAACTGGAGGGAAAAAAAACCCAAAAACCTACCCAACAGGCCACTGCACTTTGCTTCAGTCTTGGTTACCAAGCAATCGAATGTCACTTTGGAACACAATTAAGGGGATTTTTTTGGGGGGGAGGAGGGAGCAATGTCGAGAGTAAAATGTCTTTCTGCAAATGCTGGCAAAGCACTCCATTCTTTGTTTAGACAGACTCATGCGGATTCGACCTTTGACCCTCTTCACAGGTTATGAGGGGCACTGCAATGACTACCGCTGTAAGTACATGTACATTCCTTTTTTTCTTTTTGAATGGGGAAAAAAAAAAGGTAGCCAAGGCCATTCCCAACAGGATCATTGATTAGGCAGACAGACAAATGCACACACAGATAAGGCTCTTGATATATCTGTATGATAACGGCATTTGTTGTTTCTTGTTTTCCAACTTGACACTTTTTTTTCTAACAACAATGGCTGCTGGAAGAACTCCATGCATGTATTTCCCACCTGTACATGTAGGTGTATCGCCAATTGGTCACAAGCAAAGTCCATTTTCACCAAGGCACAAATGTACAGTATTTCTTCTAAAATGGCAGTGACACGGGACACGTAGAACTTTACATTGCTCATCTTCACTTACTTTATTCCCAGTCTGCTTCACACCACTACAATTTTTCACTTTCAACGTCTTCAAATTCTTTCAAATTCAAATTCCTTGAGTAGAAAGCTGTGGAAACTTTCAAAAACCAATCCACAAAGGGTAAACCTAAAGCTGGACAAGTTATCGTCAAACACAGGGAAAGAAGTCAGACCAATTAATTTTGTTGGAGTTGTACTAGTTTCTGTCTTTACCAATGAGCACACGATAAATGCTAGCTACTGTCACAGTCTCATCTGTCAAAATGCACTTTTTAATAACGAGGGCCGGGGACTTCATTTGAACCCCCTCAAGACCTGGTGCTGACCCACATACAATTAGATGAGCCCAATATCGTTAAACTCCCTTATGAAAATTGCTTCCCTTTCAACAACATGCACTCTAAATGGATCTTAATGCTGCCGGGTCAAGAAAGAAGATGATGAATAAAGTAGAGATAGGGGGGGGTAGGGATGGCAGTGTCGATATCCGAAGGGAAATAGAGTGGGCTGGAAACCGCACAAAACATCCCTGGCAATGCCATCTGACATGGATACTGACCGAAGTGCAGCAACAACACCAAAAAAGTCAGCGTTTGAAACAGTTTTAAGCGAGTGGTTGGAGGGGGAGAAAAAAAAAACAGGCCTATCAAATGGTCTGGGCCTTCTTTTGCTCCGTTTGCACCGTGGCCCTGCGAGGGTTTTCAGTTACAGCCCACTATACCTGTTTTAGGACAGTCAGGCCTTTTGATGCTGTTCTAGATTCCTCTTAATGAGAAGAATGTGTGCTTGCCTCTTTTCCTTTTTTATTCCCTAGCCCAGGGAAGGAGACGGGGAGGGGGACGGGATGTGGCTCTTTTTACCTGCCCAGGGTGTTACTTTATACAACTGCTAGACATGAGCTGACACTAAGTTTAGGTGCATGTACATGTATCTCTAATGGTCAGATTCATTTCCCCATGAACAAACTGATAATTTGACGAACGATTAAGTGGACACGAATAAATAGAGAGAGGTCTATTCTGTTACCTGGATGCCGTTTAATTGCTTTTGTGCATCATTCTTCTAAGTTGATTGGAGACACTGCAAGATTTCCCACTGCTGGGAAATCTTGTGAACACACTGAAGTTTTCAGAATTTGCTGCTGGAGTCTGTACTAACATGTAATACTTTAGTTGTAACATATTTTACCAGTGACAATAGGATCAATGGGTCCAACAAGCCTTGTGGTTTTCATTGCTCAGAATGCTTTTGAAGATGGATTTTCCATTAAAAAACTTTGAAAGTGTGTAATATACGGCACCTCTAAATGACACCTCGTCAAAACTTCACCTCAAGAGGTGAGGGGCGTGGGAACTGAAAATGGGACGTAGAGATTGGAGATATCTGTGACGAGGGGGGAACAGGGAAAGTTGACAATTTGCAATGGTAAAATAGAACGGTATGGACAAGGCTCAGGCACTAGGTTCCTCCTGACCCAGATTTGTTTGTTGCTTTTTTGTTCCCAGGGCATGCGTGCATGTTTGGAGGGGGGCTGTGCATGATGAATAGGAACACCCCACAGGACGTGATTATGATGAAATCTGGAGCAACATGTACTCAACTCCCTTTTGTTCCCCTTCTGCCACCTGCAAGCCCCGCTCTTCTCACAGGCCCACCACAAAGAATTCCAAGTGCAGTCCATTTTCTCTTCCGATGAAATAAGCTCTGACAACTTATGTGGACATGAAATGCAATGTTTTTGT